GCGGAACAAAGTACGGCCGAGGCCGCGCGGCGACTCCAGACACAGCAGGGACAGCACCAGCACCCCCAGCGGCAGCACCAGCGTCAACAGCACCTCCAGCTCCAGTACCTCCAGCAGCACCAGCAGCACCCGCAGCAGGACCGCCGCCAGGACTGACAGCAGTAGCCTCAGCGCCAACACCCTCAGCAGCTCCGACTCTAGTAGCACTCGCAGGACTAGCACCTTTGAGACCGGCGGCACCAGCACCCTCAGCAGCCGAAGAAGCAGCAGCTCTAGTAGTACGCCTCCAGCGCCGGGCAAACCACTCGCGCAGCTCCTGTGGAGAGAGTGGCTCCCACCGAGACGAAGCACCCGGAGAACCAGCAGGCCCAGCACCGCCAGACGCCACACGAGAAGGTCCAACGGCCGCGGGCTCCGCACCCCCAGGCTCAGTAGCTCCAGACTCAGCACCCCCAGGCTCAGCAGCTCCAGACGCAGCACCCCCAGGCAAAGGACCCCCAGGCTCAGCACCCCCAGTCGTAGCACCCCCAAGCTCAGCACCCCCAGTCGTAGCACCCCCAGGCTCAGCATCCCCAAGCTCAGCACCCCCAGTCGCAGCACCCCCAGACTCAGCACCCCCAGGCTCAGCACCCACGCGCGCAGCACCCCCAGAGTCAGCACCCCCAGGCTCAGCACCCGCAGCAGTACCAGAGTCACCGGCAACCTCGACCGGCTTGACTGCATCTACCTGGGACACACCTGAAGGGGCAGGACCCTGAGGGGGGAGGGGGTCTACCGGGGGGGGACCTGGCACAAGGAAGTGCGGTGGCGGGGGGAGGGAAGGAGTGGGGTAGGGGAAGAGGCGGTAGTAGGGGACTGACTCGTCGAACGGGACGTCCTGGGAGGACAGAACACGACGAGAGGTGGGGTGGTAGAACTGCCACCCAGGGGCGTCAGGGCGGAAGCCAAGGAAGACACAGGGAGCAGCACGAGGGGACAGCTTGTCCGCAGACAAGTCGCAGACAAACGCCCGAGATCCCCAAACACGGAACGCAGATGCATCGCCGACCTTCCCCGTCCACAGCAAGGCTGGGGAGGTCTCCGGCCTGGAGACCCTGGGGTGAAGGTTGATCTGATGCGCCACGTACCGAACCGCAAACGGCCACAGAAAATGGGGGGCAGCCGCATGCATCATGGACGTACAAGCAACGTCCATGACCATGCCAATGCGGCGCTCAGCAATCCCATTTTGCTGTGGAGAGTTCGGAAGCGTAAAGGTCTAGCGGATGCCTCGCGCACGACAGTAAGCTCGTAGAAGGCCAGAGGAGAACTATCCGCCTCGGTCAGAGTGCAGACGCAGAACAGGAAAGTCCGAGCCGAAGCTCCTCCTGAGCTGGAGACGAGCTGCGCGGATCCAGTCGATCAACACCTCAGTGACATCACCCTTGCTGCGCAAGGGGAAGACTGTGGTGTAACGCGAGTACTCGTCAACCACCAGCAGGAAGTAGCGCTCGTGACCTTGTCCACGGACGCGGGCTGGGCCCCACACGTCCATCTGAAGCGTCTGCAGCGGGGCCTCTACCGGGGGAAACTGAGAGGAGTGAGGGGCAGCCCGGAGCCGCCCCTCGACACAGGGGACACAGGAAGGACCAGGCCCCGGAGGAAGGGGAGGGAGGGACCGGGGAAGACCAGAGACAAGGACACGGGAAGCCATGCCTCGGAGACGAGGCAGGGAGGGGTGACCAAGACGGTGGTGCCACAGGAGAGTCTCGTGAGACAGGAGGCAACACGAGCAGAGGGCAGACTCAGGACCAGACCTCGACGCTGCAGCAAACACCTGACCCGACGCAGCTACCTGGCTAGACGCAGGGACAGGAGGGGACCCAGTGGTCAGGGTGTAGAGGCTCGACCCCGGCCGACGCGAAAACGTGGCCAGGTGCCGGCCCGTGCGTGCGTCCGAGCAGTGGGTCACCCGCTGACTCGCAGGAGTAAACTGGTGAACCCCCGCATCCTGCAGGTCAGCACCACTCACCAAGTTCGTCGAGAATGAGGGGAGGTAAAGACCAGACAAGGTGCCAGAGGGGGCAGCCGGACACGGGAGGACAGTGGAGAAGTGAGAGAGGACAGGACCCCCAGAGGGGTCTGCCAGGGAGACTGCATCCGGCCGACCAAGCGGCGTGAGTGTGGTGCGGTCTCGAAAGAAGGAGCGCGAAGCCCCTGAGTCAAGTGTGAAGGTGAGGGAGGCCGAAGCCGACGCGGTACCTAAGAGCGCAGCCTCACCAGGACTTGAGGGCGCAGACGCGCTGGCACCTAGAGCAGCAGCCTCACTAGCACCTAGCGCAGCAGTACCAATGCCCGGGTCGGGCGGGAAACACCGGTAACAGTCACCCTCATCACTAATAGTCACAGCATACATGGCAGCAAGGATAGCATCAAAGTCAAGATCATAGATAGCAACACCTGCCCTAGACAGCTCTCCCCAGCGGGGGATCTCACTAGCCTTCGGGAACTGCTGATGCCAAGCATCCGTCAGGAGGCCAAAGCAGCGCTAGGTGGGGTGGGCACCCCCACACTGCTCACCAGCGCGGTCGTCGGAGCGAAGGACGTAGGTGCACGGACCGAAACCCCCACCACGCTGACGCTGCGTGTACCACTCACGGAGCTGCTGAGGAGGGGGGATGTCTCGAGAACGTTGCTGCTGCTGGCGCTGACCACCACCGGAGCCGCTCCGCTGCGAAGCACCACCCCGACCAGCTCCACCTCCTCCACCACCGCCGCCTCCACCTCCGCCACCACCGCTGCCTCCGCTCCCACCGCTACCGCCTCTGCGCCTCCGCCTCCGCTGCTGCCACCGCCACCTCCACCCCCGCCGCCACTCCCACCGCCACCCCCACTCCCTCCGCCGCCTCCACCGCCACCTCCACCACCCCCGCTAGCTCCACCCGCGCCCTTGGCCCCCCTTGCCCTTGCCAGAGCGACGTCTCCCGCTAGGGGCAGACGCCGCACCGACCGACTCAAGACCAACGAGGTCGGCCGCAGCAGCAGAGGCGACAGAGGGCAATAGGGGGGAAGGGGAACACCCCTCAAAGATGGGGGTGCGAGGGTCACCACGAGAGGCTCCTACAGTGACTATGCTCTTCTCCGCTGCTAGGAGGGCCTTCTTTAGGAGGTCAATAGTGAGAGTGGTGGGACAGACTGAGAGGAAGTGGTCCCTGACTACGCGAAGGGAGTCAGGGAGGCGGGTGACTATATAATAGAGAGTGATGTACATGGGGGGGGGGTTCTTGGCGCAGAACTCAACAGAAAGCGCGGCGCGGTAGCGAGTGTCACTAGTGCGGAGGTGCGTAATGAGGTTAGCGACTATGGGAAAGGCAGCAAGGTCACGAAAGAGGTACGGTAGCATGAGGCGGCTCAGTGCAGCAGTGGCAGGCAAAGAGTAGCGTGCAACTACAGCGTCGTACAAGGTTTGAGCACTCTTGTACTGACTAAAGTGCGCGCGCTCAGTGGTAGGCAGGTGGCGACGCACAGCAAGACGTGCAACAGCATCGCGTGTGGCCCACTGGGAGCGAACAGTGGGGTCAGCATCAGCAGCAGGGGCAGAAGAGGCGCCAGAGGTGAGGTCAAAGAGGGAGAGACCGTCTGCCCTATCGCACTGTAGGAAGAGCTGCAGGTCATCTACCCAAACCTCAAAGTCAATGGCTCGACCCTCAGCGTCAAAAGCGAGAACACTAGGGGTAGCCATGACAGCAGTAGACGAGCAGGACCAACTGTAGGACAGGGGCAGTGCAGTGACAGAAGCGCTGCTCTCACCGGACAGGGTGGGTCGGGCAGCTCAGCAGTGCAGTAACACGGCAACACGGCTGCTCGGACAGCACAGCAGCGACTGCGGCTCCGCGGCACCAGCGGCTCGGCTGATCAGGCGGCTCGGGCGGCTCGGGCGGCTCGGGCAACTTGGGCGGCTCGGGCTGGTCGGGCGGCTCAGGAGAGTCGGGCGGCTCGGGCGGCTCGGGCGGCTCGGGCTGCTCAAGAGAGTCGGGCGGCTCGGGCGGCTCGGGTGGCGCGGGCGGTGTAGGGCTGCTGGTGAAAGGGGTGGCGAGGCCGCTTAGGAGGGCGGCAGGGCCGCAGTAGAAGGGCGGCGGGGCCGCTGAGTAGGGCAGCGGGGCCGCTGAGAAGGGCGGCGGGGCCGCAGTAGAAGGGCGGCGGGGCCGCTGAGTAGGGCAGCGGGGCCACAGGAGAAGGGTGGCGGGGCCGCTGATGAGGGCTGCGGGGCCGCTGAGTAGGGCGGCGGGGCCGCAGGAGTAGGGCGGCGGGGCCGCTGAGTAGGGCGGTGGGGCCGCAGGAGAAGAGCGGCGGGGCCACTGATTAGGGCGGCGGGGCCGCTGCAGAAGGGCGGCGGGGCCGCGAAGTAGGGCGGCAGGGCCGCTGAGTAGAAGGGCGGCGGGGCCGCTGAGTAGGGCGGCGGGGCCGCTGAGTAGGGCGGCGGGGCCGAAGTGTGGGGCGACGGGGCCGCCGAGAAGGGCGGGGCCGCAGCAACGGGCGGCGGGGCCGCGAAGACGGGCGGCGGGGCCGCAATGCGGGGCGACGGGGCCGCTGAGAAGGGCGGCGGGGCCGCTGAGACGGGCGGCGGGACCGCACGAAAGGGCGGCGGGGCCGAAGGGACGGGCGGCGGGGCCGCTAGGGGAAGGGGCCGCTAGGGCGATAGGGCCACTAGGGCGTAGGGGCCGCTAGGGCGGCTCGACGAGGTGAGAGCCCGAAGCGCGACTCGGGCGGAGCGCGCTTTGGGCAGGAAAAAAAAGAGAGTGGATGTGGTGGGCCCTAGGCACAGTTCCCACGGGGGAACCTGCTCGATACCATGAGGACAGTAGAACGAGGATGAATGACTAAGGAATGGAAGTGATACAAATATGCAACCCTAGAAAATGTGTACCCCATATGGGCTACCCCAATATAGCCTACACAATATTATAATTTGACACCGCTGACTCGCAGGAGTGAACTGGTCAACCCCCCTATCCTGTAGGTCAGCTCCACTCACCAAGTTCGTAGAGAACGAGGGGAGGTAGAGACCTGACAGGGTGCCAGAGGGGGCTGCCGGGCACGGTAAGACAGTGGAGAAGCTAGCAAGGACAGGACCCCCAGAGGGGTCCGCCTGGGAGACCGCAACCGGCCGACTAAGCGGCGTAAGCGTGGTGCAGTCGCGAAAGAAGGAGCGGGAAGCATCCGAGTCAAGGGTGAAGGTGTGTAAGGCCTGAGCCGACGTAGTACCTGAGAGAGCAGACTCACCAGCACCTGGGGCAGCAGACGCACTAGCACATGGGGCAGCAGACGCACTAGCACCTAGAGCAGCAGCCTCACCAGCACCTAGAGCAGCAGCCTCAATGCACGGGTCAGGCGGAACACATAGGTAACAGTCACCCTCAACACTAACAGACACAGCATACATGGCAGCAAGAATAGCATCATAGTCAAGAACAAAGATGTCACCCTCGGCTCTAGACCAATCTCCCCAGCGAGGGATCTCTGACGCCGCAGGGAATTGGTGACGCCACGCGGCTGTCAGGCAGCCGAAGCAGCGCTGGGTGGAGTGCGGGCCCCCGCACTGCTTGCGAGCGCGGTCGCCGGTACGGAGAACATAAATGCAGGGACCAGTACCCCCACCGCGCTGACGCGCAGCGTACCACACGAAGCTGCTGAGGGGACAGGGTCTCACGACTGCGCTGCTGCTGCTGGCGCAGACCACCACCGTACCCACTCCTCTGCATAGAGTCGCGAGCAGCTCCACCGCCGCCGCCGCCGCCGCCACCTCCGCCACCTCCCCTCCCTCCGCCACCACCGCCGCCTCCTCCGCCTCCACTGCTGCCACCGCCGCCGCCACCCCCGCCACCACTCCCACCACCACCCCCACCCCCTCCACTGCCTCCACCACCACCTCCACCACCCCCGCTAGCCCCTCCAGCTCCCTTGCCCCCCTTGCCCTTGCCGGTGTGGCGCCTCCCGCTAGGGGCAGACACAGCGCCGACCCCGTAGAAACCAACGAGGTCGGCAGCAGCAGCAGAAGCAACAGAGGGCAAGAGGGGGGAGGGGGAACACCCCTCAAAGACGGGGGTGCGAGGGTCACCACGAGAGGCTCCTACAGCGACTACGCTCTTCTCTGCTGCTAGGAGGCGCTCCTCGAGGAGGTCAACGGTGAGAGTGGTGGGGCAAACTGAGAGGAAGTGGTCCCTGACTAAGCGAAGAGAGTCAGGGAGCCGGGTGACTATGTAGTAGAGGGTGATGTACATGGGGGGGGGGTTCTTGGCACAGAACTCAGCAGGAAGCGCAGCGCGGTAGCGAGTGTCACTAGTGCGGAGGTGCGTAATGAGGTCAGCGACTGTGGGAAAGGCAGCAAGGTCAGGGAAGAGGTATGGTAGCATGAGGCGGCTTAGTGCAGCAGTGGCAGGGGAAGAGTAGCATGCAACTACAGCGTCGTACAAGGTCTGAGCACTCTTGTACTGGCTAAAGTGTGCACGCTCAGTGGTCGGTAAGTGGCGACGCAGAGCAAGACGGGCAGCAGCATCGCGTGTCGCCCACTGTGAGCGAATAGTGCTGTCAGCAGTAGCAGGCGGGGCAGGGGAGGCACCAGAGGTGAGGTCGAACAGAGAGAGGCCGTCTGCCCTATCGCACTGGAGGAACAGCTGGAGGTCATCGACCTAGACCTCAAAGTAAACAGCACGACCCTCAGTGTCAAACGTAAGAACACTGGGGGTAGCCATGACTGCAGAGGTCTAGCAAGGAGTGAGCTCACCAGTACGTGTAAGTAGGGCCGGGGCGCGCCGGTAGGACTGGTAGCGGCTCGACGACAAGGCGGCTCGGCGGTTCGGCTGCTGGGCGGCTCGGCGGCTCGGCGGCTCGGCTGCTGGGCGGCTCGGCTGTCGGGCGGCTCGGCGGCTAGGCGGCTCGGCTGCTGGGTGGCTCGGCGGCTCTGCTGCTGGGCGGCTCGGCGGCTCTGCTGCTGGGCTGCTCGGTAGAGGCGGCGTTGGGGCCGCTAGGGGCAGCGACGGGGCCGCTTAGGGAGGGGAGCGGCGACGGGGCCGTGTAGTGGCGGCGACGGGGCCGCGTAGGAAGGGGGGCGGCGACGGGGCCGCTAGGGGCGGCGACAGGGCCGCATAGAGGCGGCGTCGGGGCTGCTTAGGGGCAGCAACGGGGCCGCTTAGGAGCGGCAGCGGGGCCGCTTAGGGGCGGCGACGGGGCCGCGTAGGGTGGGAGGCGGAGACGGGGCCGCTAGGGGCGGCGACGGGGCCGCTAGGGGCAGCGACGGGGCTGCGTAGGGGCGGCGACGGGGCCGCGTAGGGTGAGAGGCGGCGACGGCGCCGATAGGGGTGGCAACGGGGCCGCTAGGGGCGGCGACGGGGCCGCGTAGGGGTGGCGACGGGGCCGCGTAGGGGCGGCGACTGGGCCGTGTAGGGTAAGAGGCGGCGACGGGGCCGATAGGGGCGGCGGTGGGGCCGCGAGGGGCGGCGACGGGGCCGCGTAGGGGCGGCGACGGGGCCACGTAGGGGCGGCGACGGGGCCGCGTAGGGACGGCGACGGGGCCGCGTAGGTTGAGAGGCGGCAACGGGGCCGCGTGGAGGGTGGCGACGAGGCCGCTAGGGGCCACTAGGGGCCTGGAAAGGGCGGCGAAAAAGGCGTGCCTCGGGCAGGAGGGACTGGCGCTCCGGTCAAAGAGGAAAATTTCAGTGGTGGGCCCAAGGAAGCGTTCCCACTAGGGAACCTGCTCTGATACCATGTGAAGAATGAGGAATGAATGAACTAGCAAGCAGGTGGGTACAAGTAGGAAAACCTAGAAGTGTTGTACCCTATATTGTCTACCCCACTACAGCCTACACAGACTATAGCATATGAGTTTGACACAACGTTCGGTGGAGTGACCAAAGGCTTTGCAGTTCTTGCAATAGTATTGTCGTGGCCGTGTGTCGCGATTCCTCCGTTGGTCGCGATTAGAGTAAAAGGCGATTTGTTCGCGGCGCGCCCCCTTTTCTTGGTTCAAGTCCATGTCATGTTGCTCATGCAGCAGAGTAGCGCAGAGATGTGCTTCGGATATTATTCCTTGTTGGCGAAGTAGCGCCTTGCAGGGATTCCAGTGTGGTCCCAGTCCTTGAAGCACGATGGTGACGTACATGTCCTCGGAAATTGTGTTTTCGAGCTTCAGAAGTTGATCGCGGACGCTTCGGCAGCGGTTGATGTAGGAGTTTGCTTTCTCGCCAGGTGCCATCTTGACTTCCATGAGTTGCTGGAGCAAGCGGCTAGAGGACACGGAGTCCTTGGGCTAGTAAGTTTTGTTGAGGTAGTTCCAGTCGGCCATGGCGGGAGCTTGGTGAGTTTTGTATGGTCGAATGCCGAGTTTTTCGGTCGGCGCCATGTTGCGGAGTAGGACGCTATACGCCATGAGCGACTCGTTGTAATACTGAGCCTTTGCGTCGCTGTCGTTGGGAGGGCCAGCGTAGCTTCCGTCGAAGTAGCAATAAATTTGCGCGTTTTGTAAGAGTAGCTCAAGCTCGAAGCTCCAGGTGTAGAAATCTCGCCCGCTAAACACGGTGCAGGTTCGGATCTTGGAGATAGTCAGAAACTTGTTCTGAGCTGCGAGCACGGCTTCATCACTTGGACGAGGAAATGTTGGAGCAGAAGAATTTGACCTAAGATCAAAGGTGGTTGGGCTCGGTTCCTTGGTTGGAGCGGCCGGTTGATCGGGTTGCTGAGCGGTTTCAAGGTTGACATTCTTCAGTTGTTGAATTCCTGATTCCAGCGTGGAAATCCGCTGGATGAGTTGCTCCAGAAGCGCATTGCTGACGGTGGTAGTTCCAGCGGAGTTCACGGTAGGGTTGGCGGGGGCTTCGGCAGTGTTGGCCGCTTGTCCGCCAGATCCTCCAGCCATGTTTCGGTGGGAGGCGTACCGAACGCCACCTTGAATTTGAATTTGAATCAACGGTGGTGGTGCGAAGAATCCTGAGTGGCTCTCATACCATGATACAATCTGAACCATCTTATAGGATCGTCTCAGGTTGATCGCACGGAGTGTAGCAACGGAAGATTGCTAGGTGATGTCGGGTACGGACTCTGTCAGTAGAAGGAGATTTGAATCTCGACAGAATTGACTATTACAATGCGGTACAAGGGTTTATATAGGAATACAGTGGAATGCAAAAGGTCCTAGCTAGCCATGTACTCTGAGGGGGTACATTCCCCTTAGGGCTAATCTAGATGCAACATCGCAACCGTGCGGTCCGGTAACTGTACGCGGTCCGGTAACCGTTTGAACATTTCCCGCGCTTTGCACTTCAAATCCTTCCTGCTTGTAACTGTCTCATCGCTTGGTCTTTCGTTTTCGATGCAGTAGCATTCGCGTTAAGGATTTGTTACTCGGGAATGTTTATTCAACTATTCCATATCGTAACAGACTGTCCTTGATCGCAACAAGCAAGAAATGATTTCTTGCCAACACACATGTTTGATACGTCGCAAAGAGGCGCAAATGACTTAGGCGCGGAATGAGACTGATCCAAGTTCAGAATTTATTGACTCACTAATAACAAAGACCTCGTTACAGTGCCTTTACGAAATTTTCAATGATTGCATGCATTTATAATATATTTTTAAATGTGTATATATCTATCATGTGCATTTTCTTCCTCCCGAAGGAAAATCTGAAGGTTGGTTGGGGACAAAAAATGCTATTGGCCCGCGAATCACCTCCTTGTCAAAATGTTGTGATGAGGGTCGCAAATCAGAGTCCTCTCGCCAAAGCTACCATGGTTCACAGTTCAGTCGCTCAAACAACAACGACGTGTTGCGACCCAAAGAGATTGAGTTGGGTCGGCTCGACCTGGTCGGCTAAACCCAACCCGACCAGATCTTCGGACACTTTGCCTCCAGGTGTTTAGGGTTGATGCATCCCTAACGCATGCCTTACCCATAGGTGTTTTATTTTTGCCCGCGGGCAGCGCAGTATAGAAATTAACTAAATTTCTCTTGAAGTTTGTGATAACAATAAAACAGATCGCGGTTCACGCGATCATAGGCTCGCCACATGGCAAAAATAAATCAAACCGCGCTTCCGCGGAATTGAGCAAAATTCTCAGTTGCCGGGCGGGAGGACGGTAAGCTGAAAATTCGCATCGATATTACAGGTTATCATTCTGTGCGGCGAATTTAAAGTGACATTTGCGCGAGAACTCTGAAGTTCGAAGACTATGGTTACCTCTCCAACTCGATTGGGTTGGGTCTAGTTGGCCTGGTTGAGCCGACCTGGTCGATCGAGGTCAGGCAGACCCAACCGGGTCTGGTTGGCTTGACCTGGTCGGCTAGACCCGCAATGCAGCCTTCCAAGAAGTCATGGGTCAGGGGGTGGTCGACCCAATCAGTTTATATATATATATGTATATATATACGGAAAAGTACACTAAGGATAATGTACAAAACGCATCAGGCTATCGTAACTGTGTCTGGAGGGAAGAGCTACAGTACCGTGTACCGCAGATTCCCTATACTGTAGCAAACCTATGGTGGTTGATGAGTCATCCTTGGGTTGTTCCAAATAGAACTAAAACTGCTCTTCCACGTCACTGGTACCCCTTTGCTGCATATCCGCCTCATTACGACCTCCTCGTCTGCTGCCAGATGCTTCCAGTCATTATTACAAACAGCCACGCCGTGCTTCCGTGCTGCCATTTGCCTTGCCAGGCAGTACACCTTGGCATGCGCGACAAATTTAACCACCGCCATACGCATCACTTTCTTCGGTTGAAACTTGATGTCCCGACGACTTGCATCACATCTTGCCAGCCACACCTGGTGTAGTGTGGTGGCAATGAAAGAACTCTCTGAGAAACCAGACTTCGGGCTCTTCTGCATGAAAAGCAGGTCCTCCAGACCCTGCCAGTTCAGCAGCGGGTTCATCTCCGCCAATCCTCTCCGCAGGAACCGCACCACCTTTTGAGTCGCCGGGCAGCCGAGCAGGCAATGCTCTGGTGTCTCCTCCGCCTTGCAGTGTGGACAGACCACTTTTTCCTTCATAAAGAAAAGCCGCTCCCCTAATTGCAGATTCCTACAGTGCAGCCTCAGCAAAATTTCTCGTGCCCGGGCGAGGGTGGCGAGAGAGTCCCTTTGTTTGATGACCCCCTTCCACTCAATCACCCTCCCATCTCCAACCCATCTCCGCTGCTCCTTCACAATGCGTGCCGAGCTAACCAGTCCCAACCTAATCTCTTTCAGCGGCAGCACCTCCCCGTTCTTGCATAGCTTGGACTGCAGGAGCTTTGTACGTGCTTCGCCGATTAACCCCAGCACCTTATCGCCCGTAGCCGCTACCGGCTCCCCACTCTGCAGACCGAAGTTAACCGAATATCTTCCATCTCCTGCGGTGAAAGTGCCGTCAGCGCCCTCCTAACACATCACCCCTGTCACCCTCCCGCTGTTCGCGTCCGTAACTTTCCAGAGCGTGGGGCGAGACACAGCACCTCCCTGATACCGTAGCAGAGGAGCTTTAGTAGCAATCTCCTCGCTTGTTAGAGTTTCCAACAACTGCTCTCTCCACCTGGCTGGCGCCGCCCCGAAAGCCTTCAGAGCTAGCTTCGCCGCCTCTGCGCTGCCGAGCTCGCTCGCCAGGGCCTCCTTGTCCTTCAGCCCCCGTGAGCCATCTGCCCGGCGCCAGATCAGGTCGCCCATCGTCAGCCCCAGAAGGCGTGCCGAGCCCTTCTGATTTCCGAATGGGCTGGCTCCTCGGAAAGGTATGCGTCTGTTGAACGCCAACTGCTCTCGCTCCACCTCCCACCGATTCTCCGGCTCCGGGGTGACGCAAAAGGGCGATTTCCAGAAAGATTGCAACATACCCTTCCACCGCTTGCTTCCCTCCGTCCAGTGCTTTAGCAGGGATTGGTGGGCGTAAATCGTGTCCGGGCCCAGAGGCATCGCCGCCGCCCGCTCCGTCAGCCACTTCTTGATCAAGTTAGCTTGCAGCATCATGCGCCCGACGTTTTGCACCGCTATGTTGTCAAATCTTTTTTTGGGGCAAATCATCCCCAGCCCCCCCTCCTCCCTTGGCGTGCAGATCAGCTCATAATTCCAAAGAATGAAGGCCTTTTCTTCTGTCGCCTCGCCCCCGGACACGAAGTTGTGGCATATCCTCTTGATTTTGGTCCATATCTCTTCTGGCGGCGGGTAGATGTAAGCTTGGAACATGAAGATGGGCGAGATGTACCCGTTGATTATCGTGACTCTCGCTGTTGTTGTGAGGTGCTGAATCTCCCACTCGGCTAACTCCTTACGCGCCCTTTCCAACGCCTTTTCCCAGAACGGAAGCGGGTCAACGTTCGGAGTAATCCAGATGCCCAACAGCCTCTCCGGTGCATCCTTGTCGGCCCATTTGTATTGCAGGCCCGCCGGCGGGGACTTCCCACTATTCACCCCGAGCGCGAAGACCACCGTCTTGTCTTTGTTTACTTTCAGCCTGATTCCTCCCCAAAGTTTTCCAGCGCCTCAGGCGCAGCAGCCAACTGCTCTTCCCCATTCAGCACGAGCGACGTGTCGTCAGCGTACCCCAGATACGCCAGCCTATCCGCCCCGCCGTCGCCGATCCCCAGCCCCCGCCGCGCAAACTCCTAGCAGAGCGGCTCCACCGCACACAGAAAAAGGTACGGTGCAAGTGGGCAGCCTTGCCGCACCCCTCTTTCCACCGCAACTCGGTCTCCTGTCCACCCGTTAATGTGCAGCCTCGTTCCTGCTCTTGGGTGCAGGCCTTCCGCCCAAGACACAAAGATCTCCGGAACCCCCATTTCTCGTAACGTGCGGAAGAGGAAAGGCCTCGAGATGGAGTCGAAGGCCTTCTGAAAATCGACCATCAGGAGGAACCAATCTTCCCTTCCACTGGCTCCTGCCTCAATCGCATCCGCTACCACCGCGATAGCGTCCGTCAGCTTCCGTCCAGGTAAAAACTGTTAAGATACTAAGCATGAGTAGGCTTAGGAGCCATAGGTTTAGTAGCTTAGTGGTCGAGTTCGAGGGTAAGGAGAAGTGTCGAGAAAGTTGAGAGGGGAATGATGTTCACTATAGCACAAGAGTACATATAGCAAACAGAGCATGCAAGGTGCACCACCAACTAGAAAGTTATATGACTACAGTATTCTACACTACAGGCAGTTATAGAACAATATATAGAATTATATATTAGTCTGACACGCCCCCATAAGTGCCTGTAGGGAAGAATGTGCAGTCAATGCCCCCTGAAGGGGTACACCAAGCGCAGGAGAAGGAGAGGGGAAGTGAGGAGGAGGAGGGACTGTGACAGGAGAGGAGATGGGAGGCGACGGCGGAAGCTGCACACACACGGCGCAACTGGAGCAACTGGCACACGGGCAACTGGAGCAACAGGCACACTGGCAACTGGAGCAACTGGCACACGGACAACTGGAGTAACTGGCTCCACGGCTAGATGAGCGGCAGGAGCAACTGACCCACGGGCTAATGGAGCAACGCGCTCACTGGCGACTAGAGCTACGGGCTCACGGGCGACTGGCGCAACGGTCTCACGGGCGGCTGGAGCTGCTGGCTTCACGGCAGCCACCTCCACTCAACCTCCCCCACCTGTCCCACACTCATCACCCCCACACCCGCCACCCCCATACCCACCCCCCCACGGATGCACCGGGTCCAGGAGCGGCTGCTGCAGTGGCGGTTGCTCCAGGGGCGGCTGCTCCAGGGGTGGCTGCTCCAGGGGCCAGGGGCAGTTCCTGCAGTGGCGGCTGCTCCAGTGGCCAGGGGCGGCTGCTGCAGAGGCGGCTGCTCCAGGGGCCAGGGGCGGCTGCAGGTGCGGCTGCTCCAGGGGCCAGGGGCGGCTGCTGCAGTGGCGGCTGCTCCAGAGGCCAGGGGCGGCTGCTGCAGGGGAGGCTGCTCCAGGGGCGGCTGCTGCAGAGACGGCTGCTCCACGGGCGGCTGCTGCAGTGGCAGCTGCTCCAGAGGCCAGGGGCGGCTGCTGCAGGGGCGGCTGCTCCAGGGGCGGCTGCTGCAGTGGCGGCTGCTCCAGGGGCGGCTGGTCCAGGGGCGGCTGCTCCAGGGGCGGCTGCTGTAGTGGCGGCTGCTCCAGGGACGGCTGCTGCAGTGGCGGCTGCTCCAGGGGCGGCTGCAGTTGCAAGGCAGGCCCGCGCGCTGTTGCAAAGCAGGCGCGGGCACAGGGGAGGCAAAGGCGGCGGCCAGGGGGGGGGGGGGGGGGGGGGGGCGCGACGAGCAGGTGACGGGGCCACTAGGGGCGGCAACGGAGCCGCGAGGGGCGGCGACTGGGCCGAGAAGGGCGGCGACGGGGCCGCTAGGGGAGGCACCGGGGCCGCTAAGGGCGGCTACGGGGCCAAGAAGGGGCGGTGACAGGGCCGCGAAGGGGCCGCGAGGGGCCGAGAAGGGCGGCAACGGGGCCGCTAGGGGCGGGCACAGGGGAGGCAGAGGCGGCGGCCAGGGGGGGGGGGGGGGGGGGGGGGGGGCGCGACGAGCAGGTGACGGGGCCACTAGGGGCGGCAACAGAGCCGCGAGGGGCGGCGACTGGGCCGAGAAGGGCGGCGACGGGGCCGCTAGGGGAGGCACCGGGGCCGCTAAGGGCGGCTACGGGGCCAAGAAGGGGCGGTGACAGGGCCGCGAAGGGGCCGCGAGGGGCCGAGAAGGGCGGCAACGGGGCCGCTAGGGGCGGCGACGGGGCCGCTAGGAGTGGCGACAGGGCCGATAGGGGCGGCGTCAGGGCCGCGAAGTGTGGCGACGGGGCCGCTAAGGGTGGCGCGAGGGGCCGTGAGAGGAGCAGCGACAGGGCCGCGAAGAGGCCGTGAGGGGCCGAGAAGGGCGGCGACGGGGCAGGAAGACGCCGCGCGCCCGGGGCGCACGGCGGGCGTAAAACCGCCACCCGCCCCGAGCGCGTGGCGGGAAGAAAAAGGTGTCGCGCGCCATGGGGCGCGCGACAGACAGGAAAGCAGCGGAAGCCCGTGGGGCCCACAGGCCAAGAGCGTAGTCGCTCTGATTCCATGTTAAGATACTAAGCATGAGTAGGCTTAGGAGCCATAGGTTTAGTAGCTTAGTGGTCGAGTTCGAGGGTAAGGAGAAGTGTCGAGAAAGTTGAGAGGGGAATGATGTTCACTATAGCACAAGAGTACATATAGCAAACAGAGCATGCAAGGTGCACCACCAACTAGAAAGATATATGACTACAGTATTCTACACTACAGGCAGTTATAGAACAATATATATAATTATATAGTAGTCTGACAAAAACCCCACCTGATCCTTTGAGATCACCTCATGCAGAACCCTCTTGAGCCTCGACGCCATTACTTTTGCCAGCACCTTGTAGACCGTGCTCAGCAAAGTGATGGGCCTGTAATTCCCTAACTCCTCTTTGCTTCCCTACTTATGTAACAGGATTGTGATTGCAGTTGAGATTTCCCGAGGAAGTTCCGCCGTCCGCGTGAAATCGCCGACGAACTTCATCAGTACCGGGCCCAGCAAGTCCCAGTTATGCTCAAACAGCTCCTTGGGAAGACCGTCCTGCCCGGGCGACGTCCCTGGAGCTAGCTCGCGTACCGCCGTCCGGACCTCCTCCTCCAACCACAGTGCACTGAGTGCATTCCGGCTGCCGTCGCACAACGTTCGGCGCATAACTCTCGGCTCCAACGCGCTTGAGCCTGCCTCCCCACGACCGCCGAAAGAGTCTTTGAAAAATTCAGTCGCCGCCACCAGCACCTCCCTCGCACCCGAGTGAGTTACCCCCTTGAAATTCACCGCTGACATCTCCGTCTTGGCCTTGCGCATTTTCACTTTTCCAGACAGAAAACCGGTTGTCGTCTCCCCATCCAGCTCCGCCTTCACCCCGAGCCACTCTTGCAGCTTCTCCTGGTGGCTTTTTTCATACGCGTCAAGCAGCTCCTCTTTCTTGAGCAAGATTGTCCCCATTCGCTTGCAGTTCGGGCTTCGCAGCCGCTGTCTGTATATTTTCACCTCCTTCTCCAGGTGCCTTTTAGTCGCCCCGACCCTCTTTTTCTCCTCCCGTGTGTACACCCTCAGGCACGTAGTTAACCTGGGCAACATATTGCCGAGGTCCCCGCCTGCGTCCTTGAGCACTCGCTCCACCCGATTCCTAACCCCTTTCTTCTTTGCTTGAGCAGCCCTCAGTCTCCAGATGCCAAGCCCCCTATCGACCGCCACTGACGACTCCAGCGCGACCACCACCGCACACCAGTGGTCTGTCATCTTGTTCGTGATGTCCGCATGTCGCACCTCCACCAGTTTTCCTGGCAGCGGCTGCGTCGCCAGCGCGCGGTCAATCGTGGTGCTTACTCCTTTTGCCCTCATATGAAAAGTGTACTCCTTTTTCCCAAGGTGCGTAAAGCGGAAGACATCAGTGAGCGGGGTGGCCGCCCAGTATCCCATCAGCCTCCTGTTTTCCGCCGACGACCCTACCTCCGATGACTTGTCGAGCACTGGGTCCTCCACAACATTCAGGTCACCCATCACCGGGACACTCTGCAGCTTCGGTAAGGTTTTAAGAAAGGACTCCAGGCAGTCCCTGTAGAAAGGCGCCCTGTTCTCCGGCTGTGCCGGTAAGTATAACGCGACCAGGAGCAGCTCCAGGTCCCCCCAATGGACCACCACCCCCGCCAGTCTCCCTGATGCATGTGTATACGTGTCTGTGAAAACCATCCCAGGTATGAAGCTCACCACTGCCACTCCTCCTGCCGACCCAGCTGGCCCCACGGCCACCACCGCAGACGGCTTCAGCTCGGTCCATAAGTTGTGATGAGCAGGGATACGCGTGTCTGTAAGTACCGCAATGTCCGCCTTGTTCCTTATCCAATCTTTGCATTTCCCTTGCTTCCCTGCACTGCCGAGCCCGTTGATGTTGAGCTCGCAGAATCTGATCGTGTTCTTCTTATTCATTAAAAAACAGGTGAAAAGCCCCTTCGCATCCATGGGCTGAGAGCTGGTACATGACTCCTGATACACGCACGCCGCTAACACCATCCGCACCAAAGAGCTGCACATCATAGAGACTACTACTACAGCTACCACAGCTGACTCGAAAACTGAACTGCCATCCTTCTCCCCTCTGTGCTTTTGCAGATGTGAAGCACTGTAGCAACAACGCCCAGACAGCTATTTGGCGAATTCCTTGCGGAAAGCTCCCAGGTTGAGAGCACCCTTGCTGGTGCGAGTAGCAGCACCGGGCTTGGTCAGGTTCGTCTTGTGATGAAGTGATGCAGCGTGAACAGATGCCTGCTCGAAGCTGGCACCCTGTGCTTTGTCGCAAGCAGCGACGACGCACACTCCAGTCCTCCCGCGACCCTCCTGTGGAGGTGAGAACGATAGCCGGGTCCTTGAGAATGTCCTTTGTTAATGCTGTGACTTTCAGCGATGCAGCTGCGGGGGAGGGTTTGAGCCGGCACATCAGTACATGGTGAAGAACAAAAAAGGAGTGGCAAAGGTGAGAAATGCAGGACGCTGATACCGTTGATCGCATGAACCTTTGCGACAGATAAGGTCCATTTGCCGATGCTGGATTGACGCTCTGTGACATAAGCGTTGTGATACTGCGTCAGATGCTGACCCTTGCAGTAACCGCAGGTAAGCGCCGGGTAGTGAACCATCAGCTTCCTTCCAGGATTGGACAGATCCACAACCGCATGACGCCACGAGTCAACATCATTCTCAAGCTTGAACACCAGACCACGTATCTTGTCAGTGTCAATACCGGTAACAGGGTCCTGCATCCTGTGGAAACCCACGCCTTTGCTGAACGCAGGCCTCCCTTTCTTGAGCAACGCGACCTCCGTCAGCATCTTACGGACCAGCTCCCGAGTGACGCTAGCCGGAAGAGACTTCAACAGCACCTCCACCGCGTCGGGGTTTTGCTGACGCTCCTTCCTGTAATTTGCATTTTCAGGGTGCTGCCAGTTGAGCGTCAGAGTGACCCCCTTCCCCACATCATGCTGAATGGAGCGTCGCCAGACCGCAGCTGCATCACTCGCATGCTGAAAGATAACTTGAAGACGGCCGTATCTCTTCTTAGACAGCCACGCCGGCAGCATTTCCTGGTACTTCGTGGTCGTCTGTGCATCGGCCGTCAGCGAAGCCTTCCAATGATCCAGGTGCGCAATGACCGTAGGCTTCAACTTCGGAACCTCGCTCTCCCACTTGATAGGAATCAGAAGCGTAAGCGGAAAGCTGACTTGTGTCGCAAGCAGGCTGACCGCAGTTGGGTCAAAAACATCCTCGTCATCGCTGTCCCAACACTCATCTTCATCCACATCTGTGCTGCAACCCTCCGTCGCCGTCTCAGGTGCCATTGTGACAGGGAAGTGCGATCCTCCCGGCTGCGGAATCCTTGATGTCCTCCCGGCTGCGGAATCCTTGATGTATCCTCTTCCTCGTTGTCCTTAAGCCCGTTGACCTTCAAAGCAGATAAACGCTCCTGCAAGGAGACTTTCGCCGCGTCCCCCAGCACATCGATCGCCGTCGCATTAGAAGGAGCACGAGGCGAGGCCTGCGCCGACACAAGTGGGCTCTTCTCCGGAGAGCGCTCCGCGCTGGCCAAAGGAGTGTTGCCAGTGGTCCCATTAACCTTCTCACCAGCCTTCCCGCCTCCCCGTCCATTACGTCGTGCACCCGCCATTGTGCAATGATGAAAACGGAGGAACAAGCTTGAACTGAAGCTTGATAATAAGCCTCCTCTGAGCACGAATAATTGACCAAAGATGTCATTTCCGTTGCTTATTTAGTCGTTGCTGCTTGATAGCGCAAAATGCCTGTGCCTTGCGTAGTTGATAGAAGACCGAAGTTATTTGACATTCCCAATGTGTAGGATAACAAACATAAATCCGGCGGAACAGGATCCAGCAGCCAATCCACGTAAGGCTGCTTAAAACCGAAACGCCATTGTAATACCAAGAGACCTGATAAGGCTCGACCCTTGATAGTTCCTGCGACTAGATAAGAAACACCAATCAGTGTGGGTCGCAACACGTCGTAAGGGCGCGTTCTTGGCCGGGGTCAGGCTCGCTGACACAAGGATCATTCCATGTCGTCATCGTCAAAATCTAGCAAAATCTCAACCTTTCAGACCTTGGTTTGAAGATTCTAGACAGCAGCCAAGAACTACTCTAAGATTGTGAACGTAATTGCATGAAAGCATGATGACACCACGGTACCCACGATGCAACACGGTAATCACATGCGTGATTCCAGGTGTAGGAGTCCCTAGACCTCACCACTCTTTCGCTTAAAGCTCGCGTCTCATATTTCTGCTATCCAACCAAGTGTTAAACGGTTGGAATAAGGTAACAGCAAAGTTTGTCGCAAAGCACACCAAAGCAAGGGGTGGTTTGGGAAAGCTGGCTGTCGCACACTTCCCGTGCACACCAAGCGTTTACAACTTCCGGAAATATGAGACTCTGAAACTCAACGTTGACAGAAGGGGGGACCGAACCTGTCCCCCTTGGCTCGTTTTCCACCCAAACCAACCCACCCTGGTTTGTTTTGGCCTCGACTGTTTTGGTAGTTCGCTGTGATTTTTTCGCCCACTCGTCAAATATTTCATTTTCGTTGCCCAATCACAGTCAAGCAAACCCAACCAAGCGTTAAACGGTTGGAAATATGAGACGCGAGTTTTAATGGGAGCACTTAGCGTGGTCAACGAGCCCGAGCGTCACGTTACCTGGGGAAATCAGAAGGGGATTTGCGAGGTAGCTTTTTGGGAGGAGTGAACGCAGGGACCCACTCACGCTAGACAAACGTAGCGTATCGCGGCCGAAGACACGTGTGAGTATATGCTTGCACGAGATTTTCGGAAAACGCGCCGCGACACCCATTCCTCACGCCAGAGTTCCACTGCCGCGCGCCGAAAAACAATTTTAAACGCGACAATACCCTACCCGTCGCTCGGCCATTCCCTTCCCTTCGCGCGGCGATCCCTTCATGCAGAGTGGCAATCTCCTCCCGTCGCGCTGCTATGTCCTCCCGTCGCGCTGCTATGTCCTCCCGTCGCGCTGCTGGCAACCAAATTACACCCAACCAACATTAGGAAGGATGAGCTAATGTGGGCTTTCTTGACACGCGGGTTTTATAGGAATACGACGCGCACGCGAAAGGACGGCAGTCAGAAGCTCTAACCGAAGGAAGTCAAGGCGCGAAGCCGAGACCGCCGGTCATTCCCTCCCGTTATTAAGTGCGTTTTGACGACGCTCGCGAGGTGGTTACCCGAACCTGACTGTTCGCTTTTCGACACTATCTCTGCTGCCTTGCAGCTCGCAGTTGGCCTCTTCCATCGCGTGTGTCACTCAGCATGCTCAGCGCCGTGAAATTCGTTAGGGTTGACAGCGCTGGCGAGAGAAAGAAGGATAGCAGCGGGCATAAGGTGAAGCCCAGGAAGGGATCGGACGACTCGAGCGACAGCGAGCGGGAGAGACGACGAAAGAAGCGGAAGAAGGAAAGAGGCGGGAAGAAAGGAAAGAGGAGAGGGCGGCGCGGGGGTGAGAGCGAGGCGGGGGAGAGCGAATCGGACAGCGAGGATGGGCGGGCGACGAGGAGAGCGAGGAAGCGGGAGGAGCGAAGGAAGAGGCGGGGCAAATGGATCGAGGACGTATCGGACGGCTCAGATGACTCGGAGGGGTCGGATGAGGAGGGCGACGAGATACGAGCTGGTGTGACCGCAGGTGAGGCGCGAGTCAGGCACGGCACGAGACAGGCACGGCGCGAGACAGGCACGGCGTGAGACAGGCACGGCGTGAGACAGGCACGGCGTGAGACAGGCACGGCGTGAGACAGGCACGGCATGTCGCGGATGCGAGTGACAAGTATTGCCAAGTGATTATTCGTGTGCTGCCCCTCCCACCGCTCCCCTCACCGCTCCCCTCGTTGCTCGTCCACCTAGTGCACTGCACCCTGCACTCTGTCAACGCATACGCTCCATCCCTGTCCTCCTCTCCCCTGCTTCCATCCCCATCCCCAGGGGCATGCTCAGGTGCAGGCTCGGGTGCAGGCTTGGGTGCAGGCTTGGGTGCGCGGTCAGAGGGAGCAGGGCAGGGCGGGCAGCAGTCGCGTGAGGCAGCAGGGATGGAGTGGATGATGCGCGCCCCGGAGCGGCCGCTGGGGGAAGCGAGGGCGGTGGAGGAGGAGGAGGAGGAGAAGGGCAGGAAAGAGGTGAGGGGGAAGGGAGGGGCGTTGTATATGGGTGGGTGCCTCACAGCATAGCATCACCGTCGACTCTGCACTTCGTCACTGCCAGTCCTGGTTTCCTCCCTTTGCCTCCTATTGCTTTCAGTGTTTCTCTGTCACCTCTCATTCCTCTCTGGTATGCCCCTCTCGTTGTCTGCGTTTTCCTGCACGTATGTCTCCCACCTTGCTCATTGAATGCCCATGTCCCCTGCCCTGTCCCCCCTGCCCCCTGCGCGGCATGCGCAGATAGTGCTGGGAAGCAGTGCACGCGAGCTCAACCCGTACTTCAAGACCGGGGACGGCTTCCCTGACTCCGCTGCCGCCCACCCTGCTGCTGACCCTGCCGCCCATTCTGCCGCCCAACGGCTGGGCTCTGCCCGCCCAGCACCGCCGCCCGGTGTGGGTGATGGCGGTGCCAGCTGGCGGCTGAAGGCTCTGCGGCGCGCCAAGGAGCAGGCGGAGCGCGAGGGGAAGCGACTGAGCGAGGTGAGGGGAAGCGACTGAGCGAGGTGAGGGGAGAGAGGTGAAGTAAGGGAGGGGGGGAGGGGGGTGAAGGTGAGACGGCGGGGGATCCAACGACGCAGGTGGTGGTGTGGTGCTGGAAGTGGGAATGCGTGCTTCACTACGGGATGATGCCTGCCTGCATGGCTCGCTTGTGAGACATCGTGCTGGGGACCCTGCTTCTCATTCTCGCTTCATCCCTTTGAGCCACACCATAACCAGCCTGTCCCTCCTTCCTCCCCCCCCCTCTCCCCAACCCTCCCTCCCAGGTGGTGTCGGACCGGTGGGGCTCGCTCTCCTCCCTCACCGCCCGCCTCTCCTCCGCCCGCGCTGCCCCCGCCTTCGCCCACAAGCATGCTGCCCGCGAGCGCGAGAGGGGGGTGGGGGAGGACAGAGGGGACGAGGGGGAGGGGGCGAAGGATGGGAGGGGAGAAGGAGAGAGAGAGGGGAAAAGGAGCAGGGATGGTGAGGGGCTGAGGATTGAAGACGTCAAGGGGGATGGAGGGAGAGGTGGAGAGGGAAAGGGTTGGAGAGGCAAGGAGGGAGGCACAAGGGACAAGGGGAGCGGAGGCAGGGGAGGGTGGAGGCAGGAGGGAGAGAGAGAGAGGGAGGGAGAGGGGCGTGGCAGGAGGGGTGGGCGAGATGATGGCGGTGAGGAGGAGGAGGACGAAGAGGAGGAGAGGCGGATGAGGGGCGGCAGGAGGGGGTACCTAGAGGGCGTGTCAGTGGGGGCGAGGGCGGGCATGAGAGTGCCGCAGCAGGAGTCAGTGTCGTGGCGCCGGCGAGGAGAGGGCGGGGCACGGGGTGAGAGGGGGGTAACGGGTGACAAGACGAGGGCAGGGGAAGGAGGGGGGGGCGAGGGGGGTGAGGAGAGGAAGCAGGCGTGGAAGGGGGTGGGGGCGTGGAGGCCTGGCATGGGCGTGGGCAGGCGGGGCGGGTGGGCCGATGGCGTGCTGGAGGAGGCGGCTCGCAGCGTCAATGCCTTCGCTGACGACGGCGGCTTCCTTGCGCAGCAGCTGGCCCGTGGTGACGTGGTGGCAGGGCCAGATGCGGGCGGGGGGAAGCCGCTAAGGGGAGTTGGGACCAGGGAGGAGGCGAGGGGTGCAGACGGTAGGAGAGGAGCAGCAGGGGAGAGAGGCCGGGATGCAGCAGGCAGTGGTGGGGCTGGTGAGAAGGCAGAGGGAAAAACCGCAGGTGATGGGGACAAGAGTGACTGGAGGGAGGGCGGTGAGGGAAGGGCGAGTGAGGACGGTGGAGAGAGGGGTGCAGGAGAGGAGGTGGGGAGTTTTGCGAGAGGGGGAGGGGAGGGCATGGAGGGTGGTGGTGGGGCTGCTGTGGATGCGGGCGATGCACGCGTGCAGGAGATACTGGCAGGCGGACTGACAGCCAATCAGATGGCGGCAAAGGCCATGCGGCTCAAGCTGATGGGCAAGGCGGATGAAGCCGACTGTTGGCAGGTGGGCTGGGCGCAGAGGGGATGGGCGCAGGTGGGATGGGCGCAGGTGGGATGGGCGCAGGGGGGATGGGCGCAGGGGGGATGGGCGCAGGGGGGAATGGGCGCAGAGGGGATGGGCGCAGAGGGGATGGGCGCAGAGGGGATGGGCGCAGGTGGGATGGGCGCAGGGGGGATGGGCGCAGGTGGGATGGGGCGAGTGGAGGATGGTAAGGGAGTGTGGCAGTGGAGTGTGGCTGAGGGAGTGCGCTGTAATAGGTGCAGAACTAGCGCTACCTGTGGGGTGCAGTGCAAGGGTGCGTGGATGTTTGGACGCATGGGTGCATGTATACATGTTTGACAAATAAGTCTCTCTGATGTTTTTTGTGGTGTGTCTGAAACTTCTTTTGTGGTGTGTCTGAAACTTCTTTGATGCACTGAGGATGCTTGTTCCCGGTCGACCAATTCCTCAACTAGCCTATGTTTCCTCAACTAGCCTATGTTTCCTCAACTAGCCTATGTTTCCTCAACTAGCCTATGTTTCCTCAACTAGCCTATGTTTCCTCAACTAGCCTATGTTTCCTCAACTAGCCTATGTTTCCTCAACTAGCCTATGTTTCCTCAACTAACCTATGTTTCCTCAACTAGCACTAGCCTATGTTTCCTCAACTAGCCTATGTTTCCTCAACTAGCCTATGTTTCCTCAACTAGCCTATGTTTCCTCAACTAGCCTATGTTTCCTCAACTAGCCTATGTTTCCTCAACTAGCCTATGTTTCCTCAACTAGCCTATGTTTCCTCAACTAGCCTATGTTTCCTCAACTAGCCTATGTTTCCTCAACTAGCCTATGTTTCCTCAACTAGCTTATGTTTCCTCAACTAGCCTATGTTTCCTCAACTAGGCTATGTTTCCTCAACTAGCCTATGTTTCCTCAACTAGCCTATGTTTCCTCAACTAGCCTATGTTTCCTCAACTAGCCTATGTTTCCTCAACTAGCCTATGTTTCCTCAACTAGCCTATGTTTCCTCAACTAGCCTATGTTTCCTCAACTAGCCTATGTTTCCTCAACTAGCCTATGTTTCCTCAACTAGCCTATGTTTCCTCAACTAGCTTATGTTTCCTCAACTAGCCTATGTTTCCTCAACTAGCCTATGTTTCCTCAACTAGCCTAAGTTTCCTCAACTAGCCTATGTTTCCTCAACTAGCCTTTGTTTCCTCAACTAGCCTATGTTTCCTCAACTAGACTATGTTTCCTCAACTAGCCTATGTTTCCTCAACTAGCTTATGTTTCCTCAACTAGCCTATGTTTCCTCAACTAGCCTATGTTTCCTCAACTAGCCTATGTTTCCTCAACTAGCCTATGTTTCCTCAACTAACCTATGTTTCCTCAACTAGCCTATGTTTCCTCAACTAGCCTATGTTTCCTCAACTAGCCTATGTTTCCTCAACTAGCCTATGTTTCCTCAACTAGCCTATGTTTCCTCAACTAGCCTATGTTTCCTCAACTAGCCTATGTTTCCTCAACTAGCTTATGTTTCCTCAACTAGCCTATGTTTCCTCAACTAGCCTATGTTTCCTCAACTAGCTTATGTTTCCTCAACTAGCCTATGTTTCCTCAACTAGCCTATGTTTCCTCAACTAGCCTATGTTTCCTCAACTAGCCTATGTTTCCTCAACTAGCCTTTGTTTCCTCAACTAGCCTATGTTTCCTCAACTAGCCTATGTTTCCTCAACTAGCCTATGTTTCCTCAACTAGCTTATGTTTCCTCAACTAGCCTATGTTTCCTCAACTAGCCTATGTTTCCTCAACTAGCCTATGTTTCCTCAACTAGCCTATGTTTCCTCAACTAGCCTATGTTTCCTCAACTAGCCTATGTTTCCTCAACTAACCTATGTTTCCTCAACTAGCCTATGTTTCCTCAAGTAGCCTATGTTTCCTCAACTAGCCTATGTTTCCTCAACTAGCCTATGTTTCCTCAACTAGCCTATGTTTCCTCAACTAGCCTATGTTTCCTCAACTAGCCTATGTTTCCTCAACTAGCCTATGTTTCCTCAACTAGCCTATGTTTCCTCAACTAGCCTATGTTTCCTCAACTAGCCTATGTTTCCTCAACTAGCCTATGTTTCCTCAACTAGCTTATGTTTCCTCAACTAGCCTATGTTTCCTCAACTAGGCTATGTTTCCTCAACTAGCCTATGTTTCCTCAACTAGCCTATGTTTCCTCAACTAGCCTATGTTTCCTCAACTAGCCTATGTTTCCTCAACTAGCCTATGTTTCCTCAACTAGCCTATGTTTCCTCAACTAGCCTATGTTTCCTCAACTAGCCTATGTTTCCTCAACTAGCCTATGTTTCCTCAACTAGCCTATGTTTCCTCAAGTAGCTTATGTTTCCTCAACTAGCCTATGTTTCCTCAACTAGCCTATGTTTCCTCAACTAGCCTAAGTTTCCTCAACTAGCCTATGTTTCCTCAACTAGCCTTTGTTTCCTCAACTAGCCTATGTTTCCTCAACTAGACTATGTTTCCTCAACTAGCCTATGTTTCCTCAACTAGCTTATGTTTCCTCAACTAGCCTATGTTTCCTCAACTAGCCTATGTTTCCTCAACTAGCCTATGTTTCCTCAACTAGCCTATGTTTCCTCAACTAACCTATGTTTCCTCAACTAGCCTATGTTTCCTCAACTAGCCTATGTTTCCTCAACTAGCCTATGTTTCCTCAACTAGCCTATGTTTCCTCAACTAGCCTATGTTTCCTCAACTAGCCTATGTTTCCTCAACTAGCCTATGTTTCCTCAACTAGCTTATGTTTCCTCAACTAGCCTATGTTTCCTCAACTAGCCTATGTTTCCTCAACTAGCTTATGTTTCCTCAACTAGCCTATGTTTCCTCAACTAGCCTATGTTTCCTCAACTAGCCTATGTTTCCTCAACTAGCCTATGTTTCCTCAACTAGCCTTTGTTTCCTCAACTAGCCTATGTTTCCTCAACTAGCCTATGTTTCCTCAACTAGCCTATGTTTCCTCAACTAGCTTATGTTTCCTCAACTAGCCTATGTTTCCTCAACTAGCCTATGTTTCCTCAACTAGCCTATGTTTCCTCAACTAGCCTATGTTTCCTTTTCACCATCACCGTCACCATCACCATCACCCATGCACCTCACAGCGTGCAGCAGCGGCCAAGTCCCAGCCCCCTCCACCAGCACCACCGCCCGCGCTGCTGGCTGCACCTGCCACATCCACACTGGAGCCCCGGGCTCTGGGGGAGGGCAGGGGGGACGGAGAAGGGGAGAGGGGGGAGGGGGAGGGGCGGAGGGAGGTGGTGCAGCTGCCGCTGGTGGATGGCAGCGGGCGGTACCTGCCAGCTGTCATGGCGGCACGGGAGGGGCGGGACGAGGTGCAGGCGGGGCGGCGGGAGAAGCGTGTGGAGCGATACGATGTGGAGGGGGGCACGGGGCAGCGGGCAAGGTGAGGGGTATTGGGGCAAGGTTGAGGGGGATGGGGTGGTGTGGGGGGATGGCAATGAGGGATTGTTTTGTGGCTTCCTTCCCGAAGAAGGTTGAGGTGAGAAGGGGGATGTTGAAGTGGGAAATGCTTGAGACGGTGTCCCATCCGCTGTTGGCCTTCGTTTCTTTCTTATTGCCCAAGTTTACATCGTGCCTGTTTGTTTTGGCTCCTCCTCGTCATTTCCATACTTACCTGCACACGGACCCCCTCGTGTTGCTGTAGCCCCCACCCTCCTTGTGCCGGCCCTCGGACAGGTTTCGTTGCTGCGCAGTGCGCACGTGGTAGAGCGTGGGCCAGGTGTGGTGCGCAGAGGGGATGGGAGAGCCAAGGGGAGGAACGGATGCCAAAGGGCAGGGCATGGCAAGCAAGAGCAGCAGCCAATCTCGATCGCGTCTGCCTCTCCTCCTATTCCCTCCGTCCCTCCTTCGCTCGACTATGCCCTTTGCTCGACTATGCCCTTCGCTCGACTATGCCCTTCGCTCGACTATGCCCTTCGCTCGACTATGCCCTTCGCTCGACTATGCCCTTCGCTCGACTATGCCCTTCGCTCGACTATGCCCTTCGCTCGACTATGCCCTTCGCTCGACTATGCCCTTCGCTCGACTATGCCCTTCGCTCGACTATGCCCTTCGCTCGACTATGCCCTTCGCTCGACTATGCCCTTCGCTCGACTATGCCCTTCGCTCGGCTATGCCCTTCGCTCGACTATGCCCTTCGCTCGACTATGCCCTTCGCTCGACTATGCCCTTCGCTCGACTATGCGCTTCGCTCGACTATGCCCTTCGCTTGACTATGCCCTTCTCACCGGGAGCGCCCCTGCCCCTCCTGCAGGTACTTTGCGGACGACGACGGCGCGTCGCTGCAGCAGCTGGTGGCGGCGGAGCGGGCGGGCGCGGACGACCTGGGCGGCTGGGACCGGCGTGTTGCGGCGGGCATCGGGCGGACGGGCGGGCGGTACAAGGGGCCGGTGGAGGTGGATGATGAATACGACTGGGATGAGGGGCTGCACGCAGGGGGGGGAGGAGGGGGGCGGAAGAAGGGCAGGTGAGCTGAGCTGCATGGGCGAATGGGAGTGTTTGGATGGTGGTTGTGCTCCGTGTGCTCCGTGTGCGTGGTGCTTGCCCCATGCTTCTCGCCCCATGCTTCTCGCCCCATGCTCCTCGCCCCATGCTCCTCGCCCCATGCTCCTCGCCCCATGCTCCTCGCCCCATGCTCCTCGCCCCATGCTCCTCGCCCCATGCTCCTCGCCCCATGCTCCTCGCCCCATGCTCCTCGCCCCATGCTTCTCGCCCCATGCTTCTCGTGCCATGCTTCTCGCCCCATGCTTCTCGCCCCATGCTTCTCGCCCCATGCTTCTCGCGCCATGCTTCTCGCGCCATGCTTCTCGCGCCATGCTACCTCACCTTCCACTCACCTTGGCTCTCCCGTGTGTCCATCTCTCACCCGCACTGCCCACACCCCCCAAGCAGGCCGTCACAGCAGCAGAGGGAGAAGGCGGGGCAGGTGGGCGAGTTCAGGCGCCAGGCGGCGGTGCAGCAGCGCTGCCAGCAGTGCATCGACAGCCCCGCCCGCCCTCGCCACCTTGTGGTGTCCGTTGCCGCCCACAGCTACCTCATGCTGCCGCCCGGGGGCTCTCTGCTGCCCAATCACGTGCTCATCGTGCCGTCTGAGGTGAGCCACACCGTGCAGTGGCCCCACAAGGCGCCCCTCACACTCAAAACCCCTGCTGCAGTGGCCATGCATGCTCGTGCCCCACACTCGCTCACCCCCTCCACCCCTTGCCACTCCCCCCCCCGGTGGTGGCAGCACGAGGGCAGCATGCGGGTGGTGGAGGAGGCGGTGTGGGACGAGGTGCGCAACTTCAAGAAGTGCCTCACGCGCATGGCCATGGCCACCCAGGAGGGCGCGGGGGTGATCTTCCTGGAGAGCGCCATGGGGGTGGGCGGGGCGGGGCGGCAGCGCAAGCACTGCTACGTGGAGGCCATCCCCGTGCCCGCTGCTGTCATGGCCCAGGCTCCGCTCTACTTCAAAAAGGTGGGGCCACGGTGCATGGCACGCACGGTACGTGCACTGACACTGACACTGACACTGACATGGACACTGACACTGACTCTGACACTGACACGGACACTGACACTGACACTGACTCTGACACGGACACTGACACTGACACGGACACTGACACTGACACTGAATCTGACACTGACACTGACTCTGACACTGACACGGACACTGACACTGACAGACTCTGACACTGACACTGACACGGACACTGACACTGACACGGACACTGACACTGACACTGACTCTGACACTTACACTGACACTGACTCTGACACGGACACCGACACGGACACTGGCATGTGCTCCCTCTCCACGATTGCAACTCTGATGCGTCTCGAAGTGGCAGATGGCTAGAGATTGGAAGCGTGCAGAGTGGAAAGTGAGTTAAGGAAAAGGGGTTGAGGTGTAAAGAGGTGGAGGTAGCTGCGAAACAGCCACGGTGCGAGACTGGTATGGATGGGTGTGGCCTCAATGGTGGGTGGGACACACATGCCTGCTGCTGCTGGGCTCATGTGCCTGCTGCAGTGCAGCGCACCTTTCTGCCGTGCAAAGGCAGGCCATGATGTGAGAAGCGACCTGGAATGGAATGGAGTCAAAAGAGCGGACACGTGCCTCACATGCAACCCGCCACACTGTCCCATGTGCGCACATCTCACGCCCTCTCACTGCCTCATGCGTCTTCCCTTCTCCCCTCCTCCCTACCCATTCCCTCTTCTCCTTTCTTTTCCCCCACGTGCTGGGTGCGTTAGGCGTTGGACGAGGCGGAGAGCGAGTGGAGCCAGCAGCACAGCAAGCGCATCATCGACACGCGCGCCATCAGGGGCGGGCTGCGCTCTGCCATCCCGCCCAACTTCCCCTACTTCCACGTCGAGTTCAGCCTGCAGGTCAGCCCCCCCTGCCTGCTCGCCATGCTCTGTGCCCATGTGTTGCTGCATCCGTGTTTCTGAATGGATGTTGGTGCATTTCGCTGGCACATTGGGCATGGGGCAGGGCGGATGGTGGATTGCACATGGCAGACAGCGGCACACACCCTCCTTCTTGTGTAGCACATGGTACATGGTACATGGCATATGGCACATGGTACACGGTACATGGGATATGGCACATGGTACATGGTACATGGCATATGGCACATGATACATGGCATATGGTACATGCTTACAAGGCACATGGCACACCGCACATGGCACATGGCATACAGGCATGTGGTTGAATGAGGAGCACCAGCAGGCCAGGCCAGCAGCCATGACCACGTGGCCTCATCAACTGAGACGCCCCCTCTCAACCCACCTGCTCCACCTCGCTGCTCATCCCACCTCGCTGCTCATCCCACCCCGCTCCCTCCCTGGCAGGGCGGCTACTGCCACGTGATTGACGACGAGAGCGCCTTCAAGGCGTCGTTGGGCCGCGATGTCATCGCCGGCATCATGGAGATGGACCCTCAGAGCTTCGGTGGGCGCGCGCGCGCCAGAGGGGGGCGCGGAGGGGTGGGGTCGCGCCCGCAGGAGGTGCAGCAGAGCGTTACCAAGTTCATGGAGAGCTGGAAGCCGTTTGATTGGACCAAGATGCTCGATGGGTGACGGCCTTGCTTGGATGTGTTGGGCTGAGAAAAGCCCCTTAGTATCTTTGCATGGCTGATCTCTAAGTGGGACTTGTTGTAATTAGCGGAAGCTTTAATGAGAAGTGTTTGAACCACCTTGCGCTGGTATGTGAGGGCAAAGTTGATTGATTAAAGCAACGAGATACAATATTATATAAGAGTACCGTACAAGGAATACGAAGAGATACGGTTCCAACTGTTTTACTGTTGCTGTTGCGGTTCGATACAGTGACGACTCGGGTAACTGCTCCGTAACGAGTCAGTTGTGTGTCCTTGCTGTCGCGCTGTACTTGTCAGGTCAAAGGTCGCTGACCTTTGACTTTCGCGTAACTTCCAGCAACTGCTCAACTTCCGGGGGTTGACTCGCCAGTGCTTCGATATGCTTCGCTTCGTTTCTGACTTGGTGTTTCGACACGACAAAGGCGCTTAGAGTTAATTGTTTCCAACACTCCCCTTCGCTTCTGGAGTGTCGCTGCTGGTGACGTGGCTCTGTCCAGTCAGCAGCATGCAGTACTCGAACTTCTGCTTTCCGAGCTTCTTGGTCAAGTAGTCGGCTGCCATCTCGGACATGGGGCAGTATGACAGCTCGAGTCTCCCCTTCTCAATCTCGTCCTTCACGAAGAAGTATCGCAGGGCGATGTGTTTCGTCCTGTTTGCGAAGCCGTTCTTGTTGGCTATGCGAATGGCCGACTGGTTGTCGCAGAACTGGGTGAAGTTTGGTAACTGGGCTAGCTTGGCTTCCTCCAGGAGTTCGCGAAGGTACAGTCCTTCCTTGGTGGCTGAGCAGAGGGCGATATATTCTGCCTCAGCTGAAGAGAGGGCGATTAATTCCCGCTTGCTCGATTGCCAGGACATAGGCCCGATAGGCTCGAAGCGATAGAAGTAGCCAGTGCGCGAGCGCCTGTTGTCAGAGTCGCCAGCGTGATAGGCGTCGACGTAGCCGATTAATTTAGGTGTCGAGGTTCCATTCTTATGATAAGTCAGGCCGATCATCGGAGTGCTAACGAGGTAGTGAAGAGCGCGGTCGAGCTCCACCATGTGATCCGCTTCAGGTTTCTTGAGGTAAGTAGCGAGTTGACTTGCAGAGTATGACAGATCCGGACGGCAGGTGACGGCAGCGAAGAGAAGACAACCCAGTTTTCTCTGGTAGTCGCGTATACCGGCGGACTTTAGTGGAGTGGATCCTTCCCCGTTGTTTCCTGCCGCGTAGCGATATGGCGTGGAGATGTTGGTCGGCGTGAGTGCAAAGCGTTTAGCGATGGTGTCGGCGTATTTCGCGGCGCTGAGGTAGATTGCGTCTTCTTCTTCCTGAATGTTGAGGCCGAGGTACTGTGTGACGGTGGATAAGACCGTGAGTGTGAGATCCTTTTGTAGCTCCCCTTCGAACCAGGTAGTGACGCTGTCGGTTGAGCCGATGTAGAGCAAATCGTCTACGTAGACGATTAGTAGGATGTAGTCGGTGCCCTTTGTGAGCCGGTACTGTCAGAACATTATAGCTCATGCATATTGTGTAGGCTATAGTGGGGTAGCCCATAAGGGGTACAACCCAATTAGGGTTAGTACTTGTACCCAATTCATTCATAGTTCATCCATTCTCGTTTCAATTTTCACATGGTATCGAGCAGGTTCCCTCGTGGGAACTGTTCCTAGGGCCCACCAATTCGACATTTTTTTCCTGCCCGGAACGCGCTCAGCCCTAGCCCGAGTCGCGCTCCCCCTTTTTTCTCGCCCCGTCGCGCCGCCCTTGCGGCCCTGTCGCCTGCCTTGCGGCCCTCGCCCCGCCCTTCTTGGCCCCGACCCGCCGCCCGGCGGCCTCGTCGCCTACCCCGCAGCCATCGCGCTGCCCTTTCCCGGACCCGATCTGCCGCCCTGCGGCCTCGTCGCCTACCCAGCGGCCCTCGCGCCGCCCTCCGGCTCTGACGCCGCCCTTACCGGCCCCGGCGCCTACCTGCGGCCCCGACGCCTACCTGTGCGGCCCCGGCGCCTACCTGCTGGCCCCGCCACCTACCTGCGGCCCCACCACCTACCAGCGACCCCGCCACCTACCCGCGGCCCCGCCACCTACCTGTGCGGCCCCGCCACCTACCTGCGGCCCCGCCACCTACCAGCGGCCCCGCCACCTACCAGCGGCCCCGCCACCTACCTGTGCGGCCCCGCCACCTACCTGCGGCCCCGCCACCTACCAGCGGCCCCGCCACCTACCCGCGGCCCCGCCATCTATCTGTGCGGCCCCGGCGCCTACCTGCGGCCCCGCCACCTACCTGCGGCCCCGCCACCTACCTGCGGCCCCGCCACCTACCAGCGGCCCCGCCACCTACCTGCGGCCCCGCCACCTACCTTAACGGCCCCGCCGCCTCCTCCCAGCAGCCCCGGACGCCGCCCTCTCAGCGGCCCCGCCGAGCCGCCCAGCAGCCGAGCCGCCCAGCAACCGAGCCGCCCAGCAGCCGAGCCGCCCAGCAGCCCAGCAGCCGAGCCGCCCAGCACCCGAGCCGCCCAGCAGCCAAGCCGCCCAGCAGCCGAGCCGCCCAGCCGCCGAGCCGTCCAGCAGCCGAGCCGCCCAGCAGCCGAGCAGCCGAGCCGCCGAGCCGCCCAGCAGCCGAGCCGCCAAGCCGCCCAGCAGCCGAGCCGCCGAGCCGCCCAGCAGCCGAGCCGCCGAGCCGCCCAGCTGCCGAGCCGCCGAGTCGCCCAGCAGCCAAGCCGCCCGAGCCGCCCTGTCCGGTAAGAGCAGCGCCTCTTTCACAGCACTGCCCTCACCCTACTGTTTGCGCTTCTAGTCTACTGCTGTCATGGCTACCCCTAGTGTCCTTGCTTTTGACACTGAGGGTCGGGCCATTGACTTTGACGTCTGGATAGATGACCTGCAGCTTTTCTTACAGTGCGATAGGGCGGACGGCCTCTCCCTCTTTGACCTCACTTCTGGTGCCTCTCCTGCCCCCACTGCTGATGCTGACACCACTGTTCGCTCACAGTGGGCCACGCGTGATGCTGCTGCACGTCTTGCTGTGCGTCGCCACCTGCCTACCTCTGAGCGTGCGCACTTTAGCCAGTACAAGAGTGCTCAGACCTTGTACGACGCTGTAGTTGCACGCTACTCCTCCCTTGCCACTGCTGCACTGAGCCGCCTCATGCTACCGTACCTCTTCCCTGACCTTGCTGCCTTTCCCACAGTCGCTGACCTCATTCCGCACCTCCGCACTAGTGACACTCGCTACCGCGCTACGCTTCCTGCTGAGTTCTGCGCCAAGAACCCCCCCCCCCCCCCCATGTACATCACCCTCTACTACATAGTCACCCGTCTCCCTGACTCCCTTCGCGTAGTCAGGGACCACTTCCTCTCAGTTTGCCCCACCACTCCCACCGTTGACCTCCTCGAGAAGGCCCTCCTAGCAGCAGAAAAGAGCATAGTAGCTGTAGGAGCCTCTCGTGGTGACCCTCGCATCCCCATCTTTGAGGGGTGTTCCCCCTCCCCACTTTTGCCCTCTGTTGCCTCTGCTGCTGCGGCCGACCTCGTTGGTCTGGAGTCGGTCGGTGCGGCGTCTACCCCTAGTGGGAAGCGTCGCTCTAGCAAGGGCAAGGGGGGCAGGGGCGCTGGAGGAGCTAGCGGGGGCGGTGGAGGCGGCGGTGGAGGCGGTGGAGAGGGTGGGGGTGGTGGTGGGAGTGGTGGCGGGGGTGGAGGTGTCGGCGGCGGCAGTGGAGGCGGAGGCGGCGGCGGCGGTGGCGGTGGGAGCGGAGGTGGTGGAGGTGGCGGAGGAGGAGGAGGAGGAGGAGGTCGTGGCTCTTCGCAAAGGAGTGGCCCCGATGGTGGTCAGCGCCAGCAGCAGCAGCGCAGTCGGGAGACCCTGTCCCCTCAGCAGCTCCGTGAGTGGTACGCTGCACGCCAGCGGGGTGGGGGTACTGGTCCGTGCACCTACGTCCTGCGCACCGGCGACCGTGCGGGTGAGCAGTGTGGGGGTGCGCACCCCACCCAGCGCTGCTTTGGCCGCTTGACAGACGCTTGACGTCACCAGTTCCCTGAGGCTACTGAAATCCCTCGCTGGGGCGAGGTGTCTAGGGCAGGGGTAGCTATCTTTGACCTTGACTTTGATGCTATTCTTCCTGCTATGTATACTGTGTCGATTAGTGAGAAGGGTGACTGTTACCGGTGTTTCCCGCCCGACCCGGGCATTGAGACTGCTGCTCTAGGTGCTAGTGAGGCTGCTGCTCTTGGTGCTAGCGTGGCTGCTGCTCTAGGTGCTAGTGCGTCTGCTTCCTCCGGTATTGGTGAGTCTGCGCTCTCAGGTACTGCGTCGGCTTCAGCCTCCCACACCTTCACACTTGACTCGGGGGCTTCTCGCTCCTTCTTTCGAGACCGCACCACACTATCGCCGCTTGGTCGGCCAGTTGCAGTCTCCCTGGCAGACCCCTCTGGGGGTCCTGCCCTTGCTCACTTCTCCACTGTCCTCCCGTGTTTGGCGGCCCCCCTCTGGCACCCTGTCTGGTCTTTACCTCCCCTCGTTCTCTACAAACTTGGTGAGTGGTGCTAACCTACAGGATGCGGGGGTTCACCAGTTCACTCCTGCGAGTCAGCGGGTGACCCACTGCACGGATGCTCGGACAGGCCGACACCTGGCCACGTTTACCCGTCGGCCGGGGTCGAGCCTGTACACACTGACCACTGCGTCTCCTCCAGTCCCTGCGTCTGGTCAGGTAGCTGCGTCGAGTCAGGTGTTTGCTGCAGCGTCCAAGTCTGGTCTTGAGTCTGCCCCCTGTTCGTGTCGCCTCCTGTCTCACGAGACTCTCCTCTGGCACCACCGCCTTGGTCACCCCTCCCTGCTTCGTCTCCGAAGCATGGCCTCCCGTGTCCTTGTCTCTGGTCTTCCCCGGTCCCTCCCTCCCCTTCCTCCGGGGCCTGGCCCTACCTGCGTCCCCTGTGTCGAGGGGCGGCAGTGGGCTACCCCTCACTCCTCCCAGTTTCCTCCGAAAGAGGCCCCGCTGCAGACG